TAACCAGAAGGCTGGAGGTTCAAACCCACCAGCCACTCCTCGGAAGGAAGATGGGGCAATCTACTTCCATAGTGATACTGCCTTGGAAACCCAAGGAGGGTTTCAACTCGGGTCCGACTCGACGGCACATAACAACAACAACAACACAAGCATAGTCTACAAATTATAAAATTATGATTTTAATGTCTTCAGATTTTTTTATACAGGAAAAAAGTCAGTCACAAACTGTTTTACCAAATTTAAGGTAGAGTGCTTTTCTAAGAACAAAGTTAAAAAATATTTGAACTCTCAATGAAACTCAATATAGCACTTAAATATGCCAATATAAGAAAAGTAAAAGGCAAGGTAATTAATTAAAAAATGAATGCTTAGAGAGGTATGCCCTTTAACTGAATGAGGCACTGTTGTTTTGTTTTTCAAATTAAAAAGAATGGCACTCATGCTAAGGCAAAGAGAAGTCCATATCCTTCCTGTACATGTAGTACTCTTTTAACAATTCAATTCCTAAATGTGCCAATGCATTATAAACTTTCCAAAAATAAAAAATTCTCTTCTTTTGTAAGGAACTTCATTTTTATTAGCTTAAATATGAAAGCCTATTCCTTGCCAACTATACTGCATATGTATAAAAGGAAACACTGCTGTTCTGTGCCAGTTAATGAAAGCCTACCTGTGCAATTGATTCTTTTTCCAAATGAGCTCGAGATCCACATGCAATAGCCATATAATCCTGAGGAAAAAGAACAAAATCATTTTTCAGTATTTAAGTATCATTAATAAAAATATTTATTTTCAATGTGAACAGCTCATTTTGAGATTTTTTTCCTTCTTTTTGGAAAATGTAACATTAGAAATCTTTTAAAGTTTATTGAGAAAAGCAAATTATGGACAACCTCAAAAAGCCTAATTGTATTTCCTAAATAGGACACTATTTAGAGCTCAATATAGGGGCATTATGTTACTTCAGAACTCAAAGCTTTAAGAATTTTTTTTTTTTATTAAAAATAAAATACCAATATAATTTCAGAGGAAAAAAGTTAGTGAAATCAGAAAGAAAAGGATTTTCTATAGATAATATGATTATATACCTGGAAGGTCCAAGAATATCAACTGAAAAACTATTACCAAAAATAATAAAAATGAAGCGTGGGCAAAAAAACGAATATACAAAGAACTTTAGCCTTCATATGCTGTTGTTGTTGCTGTTATGTGCCACTGAGTCAGACCTGACTCACAGCGACCACTCCTTGGGTTTCCGAGGTGGTATTACTACAGAAGTAGATTGCCCAACCTTCCTTCCGAGGAGTGGCTGGTGGGTTTGAATCGCCCTCTGGTTAGCAGTCAAGTGCCTTGGGCACTATACTACCAGAGCTCCTAGCCTTCATATGTATAAACAGTAAACACAAGATATAATGGAAGAAAATATAGCACTTATCATTTCAATAAAAAGGAAAAAATCTAGAAATAAACTTTCCAGGAAATGTGACAAGATTTAAATGAAAAAATTTAAATGCTACAAAAGGGAAATGAATAAATATATAAAACATAGGCATAATATGCTGATGGATAAGAAGACAGAAGGACAGCATACAAAAGTTAATACTCCCCAAATTAATCTATACATAAGGCCATAATAATAGAAATACCAAAAAGAACTTTAAACTAGAGAAGCTGATTTCAAAGTTAATGTGAAGAAATAAAATACCAAGAGGAGAAAATTTCTAAGAATTAGGAAGAACTAGCCCCAAATGATTTAAAAATATAATATAAAACTGCAGTAATTAAAATTATGGAATTAGAATATGAACAGACAAATCCAATGGAAAGGCCAGAAATACATTAAAAAACATATGTGATAAACATGACACTTTATATCTAAGGGAAAAAGGATGATAAATGGTTCAAAATCAAGAAGGGAGTACATGAAGCCTGCATCTTTTCACCATACTTATTCAACTTGTATGCTGAGCAAATAATTTAAGAAGCTGGGTTATATGAAGAAGAACATGGCATCAAGATTGGAGAAAGACTCATTAAAACAACCTGCGATATGCAGATGACACAACTTTGCTTGCTGAAAGTGAAGATGACTTGAAGCACTTACTGATGAAGATTAAAGACTTCAGTCTGCAGTATAGATTATTTCTCAATATAAAGAAAACAAAAATCCTCACAACGGGTCCAATAAATAGCTTCAGAGTGGATGGAGAAAAGATTGACATTGTCAAGGATTTCATATTACTTGGTTCTACAATCAATAGGAAAGGAAACAGCAGTCAAGACATCAGACAATGTACTGCATTGGACAAACCTGCTGCAAAGGACTTCTTTCAAGTGATGAGGAGTAAAGATGCCCCCTTGAAGACTAAGGTGCACCTGACCCAAGCCATGGTATTTCCAATCACCTCTTATGCATGTGAGAGCTGTACAATGAATAAGGAATGAAGACTGAAGAAGAGTTGATGCTTTTGAGTTGTGGCGTGGGAAAAGAATGCTGAAAGTACCATGGACTGCTAAAAGAACTAACAAATCTGTCCTGGAGGAAGTGCAGCCAGAATGCTCCTTGGAAGTGAGAATGGCCAGACTTCATCTCACCTACTTTGATCATGTTGTCAGAAGGAACCATTCCCTGGAGAAGGATATCATGCTTGGTAGAGTGGAGAGTCAACCAAGAAGGGCAAGGCCCACAACGAGATGGATAGACACAGTGGTTTCAACTATGGGCTTAGGTATTGCAAAGATGGTGAGGCTGGCATAGGACTGGGCAATGTTGTCGTTCTGCTGTGCACAGGGTTGCTATGAGTCAGAGACGACTCAATAGCACCTAACAACAACAACAACAATAGCTGATAAATGGTGTAGGGCAAGTTGGTAGCCATTTAGAAACCAAATTAAGTTGACTATGAGTCTCATAGTGAACACTATGACATATTCCAGATACATCAGAGATTTAAACATAAAATATCAAAAATCATTGTTTAAATTATCTCAAAGTAAGGAAGGCCCCAAAGTACACAAAACCCAGAAGAAAAGGTAGATTGATTTGATCATAAAAATAAAAAAAGTATTGTGCCAAAACAATAAAAATCCAACTATATCCAAAGTAAAAGACTCAGAAATATGGGAAAAGTATTTGTAATTCATATTATAGACAAAAAATTAATTTCCAAAAAGCATACAGTGGTCCTACAAATCATTAAGAAAAATATGAACAACCAGTTGAAAAAGAGGCAAAGGATATGACAGTTTTTTTACAAAATGGCAACAGCTCTTAAATAATTAAAAGGATCCTCAATCACACTTATACCAAGATATAACCTAACAATTTTTACCATGTTGTATTTCTATACTCCATGGACATTAATTTGAAATAGTTACCAAAATTATACATATGTATATATATATGTATAACGAGCTCTGGTGACATAGTGGATAAGGCATCTGGCTTCTAACCAGCAGGTCAGTGGTTAAAACCCACCAGCTACTGTGCAGAAGGAAGATGGGGCCATCTACTTTCATAAAGATTCACAGCTTGGAAACCCCATGGGGGTCGCTTATAAGTCAGAATTGATTTGATGGCAGTGGGTTTTTTGGGTTTATCATAAAAAGAAAAGTGATGCATAATCTAAGAAGCAGCAGCCCCTGATAACATTCTGTATACAGTAGATTCTTGTTATTCATAGTAGTTATAGTTCACGTATACAATACAGCTCTCACAAACACTGAATACCAAACCAGCCTAGTTTGACCTCAGCCGGGAATGTCCATGTCAGGCCACTCAACATTTTTCACAGCTCTCACATGTCTAGGAATGACCTCAAAAGAATGGTGAGTTTTAGGCTTACAACTAAATTTTAGTGAGCAGGTGAATTTGTAAACATGCAATCAGTGACAAATGGGGATCAACTGTATTTTCTTGCTGTCTTTATGATAGCTGACATTTACTCATGAACATAATGTTCCTTTTCATTTAAAGTAACCTAAAATTTTCTCATGTTCAAGTTCACTGGTTCTGAGTTTTTAATTACGGATATTTTATTTGTCTCTACAGTGTATTTCTGTAGACAGCATATTGATAGGTTTTGTTTTCTTATCCAATCTGCAACTCTCCATCTCTTGAATGGTGCATTTAATCCATTAACATTCAATGTAATTACTGACAAGTATGAATTGGTTGTTGTCATTTTGTTATGTGTTTTATCATGGTGTCCCTGGTTTCTTTGTTCCATATTATTTTCTGTGCTAAGATCATTATGTTTATGAATTGTGTTATCATTTCCCTTGCTGCTGCTGTTTTAGTATTTGCTGAATATTTGTGCTTGTCCTCCTTTTTATTGTGACATGAAGGTTTATCATTTTTCTTTGACACTACCCTGTGATTTATAATTTTCTCCCCGAGATTAGAATAGTACATTCTATCTTGCAACTCTCTTGACTTCCTCAACATTTAGAAGTTCTGTAACTACACCATCTTTTCCCCCTTTTTGTTTGTAGTTGTCCTCACTTGCCAATTGATGTCTCTGGTTTCCTGTTTACAATCTTGTAAGCTCATTTTACTTTGGATATGTCCAGTTATGGTTTCTGGGTTATGTCATTTGTGTATTAATGGTTGGTTGTTATTTACTATTTTTGGTTCTCTGTGTGAAGGACTCCCTTTAGCATGTCTTGTAAGATTGGTCTGGTTTTAACAAATTCCTTTAGTTTCTGCTTATCTGGAAGTCTCCTAATTTCACCATCATATTTGAGAGACAATTTTGCCAGGTATATAATTCTTGGTTGAAAATTTTTCT